AAAAAGCCCAATATTCTACAACAACACATCTTTTCAGTTACCCAGTTGGCTGAAAATGATACAGAATACAAGACTGTACTGCACATACTGTTGGTTGACAGTATCACATCATTTGATTCTATAGAGCAAAATACTCTCCTTCAACAAAATGTCTTCCATGCACGTGTCAATATCATAAGATTTCTTGAAAGTTGTAACAGTAGAATTGACCAGGCCCCTGGAGCCCTTCCCTGCCTTTGATTAGAGAGAATGGAGGATGGATATTGGAGAGCTCCTCCCAGATCCTCCATCATTTAATGATGGTACCCAGGGAATTCTCATCATTTCCTACCCAGCTTCTTTCTTGGACTTCTCCATCACCAGAAACTCATCATTTGGCAAGATGAAATCGCCTCTGAAAGTCATCTTCTTAGATAATTTCCCACCATTTGCATGACTTCATTATGCCCTTGTGCTGGGTCATCTCCACTCCCCCTTCAGCTTCTTTTTATGTGTTGTATCCGCTGTGAGCTCCTTGAGGGGAGGGGACTGTCTTATGCCATTCTTTGTATCCATAGCACTTATTAACAATGCCTGGCACTTTTTTGTTGGTGAGTCATTTCAGTTGTGTCTGACTTTTTGTCACCCCATTTGGGTTTTTTTTTTTTGAGAAAGATATTGTCCCTTGTTTGACTTAAGATTTCCTGGTTTAACTTTACCTTTGTTTACTTTGTTGTTATCATATATATTGTTCTTCGGCTTTGCTCTCTATCTTTCCGTGTTTCTCCTAATTCTTCAAGTTCATTGTATTTTGTAGCATAGTAAATGTTCCTCTATATTCATGTACCATATTCAGTCATTCCTCATTCCTCATTCATTGGGCATATTATTTTTTTTCTAGATTTTTGTTAGCATAAATAATGTTACCGTGAATGTTTGTGTACCTAGGTGCCTTTTCTTGGACTTTTTTCAGGTCTTTGCACCAAGAGCTATGATGGAAAGGGAGGAGGGGGATAACGTCCTCCTTTTTGTGCCTCGCCACCTATTGGCTCACGGGGTTGAGGGAGAAGGCAGGTCTTAGTATAGGACAAGGGAGTAGGGCCGCAGGATGAGCAGGCGTGGATAGGGAGTGATGTATAATTAACAGCGCCTATGGTCAGACAGTTCTGGGAGTCACCTTTCCTTCTTAAACCCTTGCCCTTCCCCCCCACCCCCACCCCAGTGCTGCTGCTGCCCCTGCTGCTTTCTTCCTCTCTTAACTAAACAAAACTCTTTTTGCCCCAGGAGAAAAAAATCCTTTCTGTTTCTGTGTTCCATAGCTAGTTATTCCAGAACTGGATTCAGAGCCCAATTTTCTGGGTTCTCAGTCCAGTGGATTGTCTAAATATGATATTAAAGTTTATGGTGAAGCTAGATGTCACTTTAAACATTGTGTGTGTATATGTGTGCATATATATACATACACATACATACATGTATGTATACATATATGGAAACAATACCACATGTCTCTTGTGGGCTGGAGGGAATGCCTATGGCTATGTAGTTATGATTCTGGATGTATTATTATTAAAAGCTATTGTCGATCATTATTTTAATTTTTCTTAATTTTTGGTTGATTTTCAGTATTTGATGTTTCCTAACATTTGTAGTTTAAGTTTCTTTCCTCTCAAATAGTTTTTAGGCTGTAAACAAGTACTTAAATGCATTAGGAGAACTTCTATTGAAAGTATTCTTTTAAATTGTGAATAATCAGTCCCTAGCTTATCAGTGTTGGAAATTTAGATTACATGGATTATATTTATAGATTTCATTTTAAATTAAAGAATACCGTCCATTTCTGAACTTGGGAATGAAAACTAGAGGTGTGGTTTGGTTATCAGACCTGTGCCATTACCTTTTTGCCCTAACCTTAAATAAATAATCCTGTAGCTTCAAAGAGTTTGAAGTGGGGCCTTCTCTCTTAGTGTATTTTCCTCTCTTTTGCTTGCCTTCCCTCCATGGCAAAATTCCCTGAACTTCTAAGTTGCCTGTCACTTAGCTTATTACCCTCAAAAGCTACATGCAGTTATTTGTGAGCTCTCAAATTTCATAAAGCACATGGAAAAGATGCTCTAAGGGAAGGTTAATAAATACCTCACTTATTAAGCCTCTTATTGTCTACTACTACCAAACTGGAAATATTTTCTACCCTAGAGGTTGTAACAACTTGGTAATAAAGTGCATTCATATAAATTTCCTATTTTAGTACAAAGTATTTTTGGATGAAAATTATATAAACATAAAGCATTTTCTTGGGTAGTTTATTAAATAGTATCTGTTAAGAGCCTCTCATCCTATGTCTTGGCATAAAACCCACAAAATGAAGGGAGAATAATAGCCCTCTTAGCCACCTCCTTTTCTTCTTCCCTTCAAAATAAAGGCTATTTCAGCTTAACAAATATATGTATTCCGATAGAACAAAAATGTATTAGAAACGATGTAACCCAAAATGTGTATTATTTGCAGACTGTTAAACACAAAACAAAATATGGCTATTTTACCTTTAACAAGACAGTAGCGACCTGTTTGTTTCTGGGAACCCCTCTCTCAGCTTATTTTTTGTGTACTTAAAGTTTTGTTGTGGTTACTGTCATCTTGATTTGTAAGGTTATCATTATACTTATTCTTTTGGTTCTTCTTTCTCTACATTATTTTATATAGTTCTTGCCATATGACTTTGAATTCTTCATATTTTTTTTGTGAGATAATAGTTTACATTGCATTCATATATTTTCCGCCATAACTTGTGCAACCATTTTCCAAGTATTAAAACACGTAATTTATTCAGTTTTGCATTTGGGATCGTAGTTAATGTGAAAACCTTTTTCAGTCAGAGAAGGGAAAACTTCATTGTTTTAGACGATTGTATTTTTAGACGATATTTAGATGATTGTATTTTTAGACGATATTTAGACGATAATATTGCAATAAAAACGGTGTCATACTGACTGTCCTTATATGCATACATATGTAACTGTACTAATAGAACAGATTTTTTGCCTCTTAGTCCTTTGTGAAATGATATTTTTAAATTGCTACTTTGTGAAGTCAGGTGAAATCAGTTTACTAGAAATGTGAGATCTATGATCTTTAAACTTTTTAAAAATTTTATTATGAACATACACGCCAAATGAAATGAGCTTTTCTTTTTCATATATGTTGTAGAATAGGAGTAGAATGCATGTGAAACTGAGAATCTTGCTGAGAATCTACATAAATCTTGCTTTTCTTAATTATGATAAATAGAATAAGTTCAACAAATAATTTTCAAAGCTACCCTGCTTGTTTGTGATGCCTTCTGTTGTTATTTTTTGGAGAAGGGAGAACCCTGTCCATAAGCAGCCCGCCCTTATTCCTTTGCACCTTCTCTCCTTTAACTTAGAAAAGTACAAAGTGCCCTCTTCTGGTTAGAAGTCATGTTTGCAGAAAAGCATGAGAAATGTAAGCTGGGACTACTGGCCAAGAGTTTAATAGCCCTTTTTCAGTGTATGTCTGAATACAATGTTTTAGTCAATCTTCCCTTTAATATTAATAATCACTTTTTCTTCTATTACTGGGAGAAACATATGACATGGTTAGAAATGAATACTTGGTACATGGAACTGTCTTGTGACAATTCTTTGCCATGTAGGACTTGTTATTTTGTAGAACTAGTATGACTTTTAAATGTTATGGATCACCCCAAAAATTAAAAAGGAAAGTCTTATGGATCCCTCAGTGTGGAGCTAAGTAATCATACCAGTTGATCAAGTACCACTCTCCATATTAATTAGTTTACATTTGATGAGAGTAAATTAATAGGTTAATAGAGCTGGAAGAAAACTTAGAAGTCATCTAGGCTTAATAAACATTTTTTTTCTACTTAGACTAAAACACAAGAGTGTGGTTAAGTGATTTTGCTAAGATCACATAGTAATGTCAAAGCTGAACTAAGTCTCCCAGATCAGTTCGTTGCTCTTTCTCCTGTATCATATATTGGACTGATAGTGTCTCTGTCTTGGCAGAGATCTTTTCCTATAACAGTTACTTTTTGGTATTCTCCTTAAGAGAAGACAGTTATTTTGATTTTTGGTGTGTTCTGTAGAAAGGAACTCATAACTTGGTCCCTCTTACTTTTCCAGTCTTCTCACCCTACTCGTTCTCCACATAATTTACAGTCCACTGACGCCAGTCCCTTTACTTTTGTTCCTTGTGCAAGACATTCCTCTCTGTTCTGGGGATTTTCACTGACCCCCATACTGTGCCCCATCCCTCGAATTCTCATCTCCTGACCTCCCTGGCTTCCTTCAACTCCCAGCTAAAATCCCCCATTATTTCCCATTACCCCTTAATGCTAGCGCCTTCCCTCAGTTGATAATCTCCAATTTATCCCATATGTATGTTGTTTGTACGTAATTGTTTGTATGGTATCTCCCCCATTAGACTGTTGCATTGGTTCAACTATAATAGTGGAAAAAATTAGTTATCAGGCAAGAAAAGTTACTAACTTGTTCATATCCTTTGACTCAAGAGATCCCCTCATTAAAAAAAAAATGCCCATTGTGGAATGAGTGGACAAACATGGCATATAAGTATAGCAAAATATTAGTGAGCTGGTATGATGACTGAGAATTCGTGGAAACATGAGAAGATTTGTATGAAGTGATCCAGAGTGAAAGAGTCAAAATATATGTAATACCTACCATGGTATAAATAAAAGTTAATGAGGCCACAAGACTAAAGTCAGATACCAAGGGCAATACTGGTAGCAGATTATCAAAGTCCAAGCGCATCTTCCTTTCTCTTGACAATTGAGGCACCACAAAAATGGAAAGTGACGTGTACTGTCAGTTGCAATCATGCCATTAACTGCAGAATGTACTTTCTAGTGTCCATTGGGAAATGCTTGTATCCAAATAGTATCATTGCATTTTTAAAAAGAGAGCCCAGCATAAACAACATCTAGAAAACTTTTTTTTAAAATTGGTTTTGTGTTGTAGGGATTTTATATTGGAAGACATGGATCTTGCAGCCAATGAGCTCAGCATCTATGATAAACTTTCAGAGACCATCGATTTAGTGAGGCAGACGGGACATCAGTGTGGAATGTCAGAGAAGGCAATTGAAAAGTTTATCAAACAGCTGCTAGAGAAAAATGAACCTCAGAGGGGACCACCCCGACATCCTCTGCTCATGGTTGCTTACAAGGTAAACTTGTATTCTAACTTGGAAATATTGTGGAAAGAGCATACATTTTTCTCTTTAAATATTCTGCCATGATATTGTTGACTTGGGGCGACCTAATATATAGGTTATTTAACCTTTTTGTATTTACTTTTCCTTGGGCAAGTTGGAGCTTCCTCTTGTTGGTAAGTCTGAATACTTTGTTTAGAGGCATAGTTGAAAGCTTTGTATTTTGATTAGCTGGGGGTTCTTGTGAATAGTGATATAAATTTATCCAGAATCAAATCTTAAAGTGGGATATTCAGTAATTAAAATAATGCCTATCTAAAAGGGTTATCGGGGCTGATTTAAATGAGGTGCCTCTATCTTTCTTTTCTATTAACAACTGGTAAACTACAAGTGGAAGACGACCTTTAATATCAGTCACAATCAAATTATCAGGCACCTTTTCTTACTTGGGACTTCAGGGGGGATTATTTTGTGGGAAGGATCATTGGGATGTTGGTTGTGAAGTGCTTGTGTTAAAACAAAATATATGGGGGCAGCTAGGTGGCGCAGTGGATAGAGCTGCCCTGAAGTCAGGAGGACTTCAGTTCAAATCCAGCCTCAGACCAAACACTTGACACTTACTAGCTGTGTGACCCTGGGCAAGTCACTTAACCCCAATTGCCTAAAATACATATATATATGCGCTAAGAATTAAATAATTACTGCCTTTCCCCAAATTAATGAGTTATTGTAAGTAAGGTGAATTTTAGTGTGTGTAAAGTGGATTTTTTGTTATTCTTTTAGAATTTTCTTCCCAGGATTCATTAGCCATAGCATTCTCTACTTCCCAGGTGTTAGATATGAGTTTTCACAATGATGTTCCAAAACAATTTCTACTGTGCAGTCGTGGTAGATATAGGGGTAAAGTAAGGTAAAATTGTGAGGCTATTGCTGGCAATATGCCTTCTTTGTCTGTTGCCGTATAAAGCAAGTGGGCACTAGTCAGTGACCAGGGACCCCCATAGGGGTGAATGTGCAGGCCAAATGCTGTACGTACCTTGATCGGCCCCCATTAAGGCTTGGGGTGGAATTCTGTGTATTTGTCTCAACTGGCCACTATGAGGCTTAAGGGGATTTAGGGGAGAGCACAAATTGTGCTGGTCTCAGTTGACCCCATTGAGAGAGAGGGGAAGTTGCCTCCTCTTCACACCGGCCCCTGCGGGAAAGGTTGTTAGGGAATGCTGTAGGAGTTGGTGCTCCCATTGTCAGCAGACTCCTTTTGAGAAGACTAGACGAGAATAAAGTAAGCTTATTTAACCCCTTATTATGACTCCATTCCTGTCTTCCCATCTGACCGGATCAAAAGCAAACCTGCTAGTGAGAGAGGTGCTAGAAGCCCTCCTGTGTCTGCTTCCTAAGAAACAGTGTAGTTGATGTGTCTTGTCCAGCAGTTATCTATGATAGTAGATTATACTCTGAATGTAAACCTGCCTGAACTCATCATTAGAATAGCCATTTCTTTGCATTTTAAGATGTTTGCTTAAGATGCTACATTAACAATTATGTATTGGTCTATTTTTTCTTTTAGGTCCTGATCACACTGGGGTTAACCCTGCTCACTGCCTACTTTGTGATTCAGCCCTGTAGCCCTTTACCACCTGAACCAGTGCTCTCTGGGGCTCACACCTGGCGCTCTCTGATCCATCATATCAGGCTGATGTCCCTGCCCATCGCCAAGAAATATATGGTTGAAAATAAGGAATATGTTCCTCTGTCTGATTATACTGAGCACCCAAGTGACGAAGGATATGGAGGTAGATTGCTACATTTACTTATTAGCTACATCTCTTGCTAGACACCAGATGAATAGAAAAGGGAAAAAAATGGGATTTTACTATCAATTCCAATATCTGCCCATAGAAAGGAAAGATTTAACTGTACCATATTTTTATACATATATTTACCACAATCTCTATTACAGTGTTAGACACATCATCAATAATGTGTGAATTAGTAGTTATGGGATCTCTTTCCACCTACAGAGATAGAAAACCATCTATAATTTAGTAGATAATAATAACAGCAACTAGCATTTATAGCACTTTAAATTTTGTGAAGTGCTTTACATATATTTTCTCACTTGATCCTCACAGTTACCCTGAGAGATAGGTGCTATTATCCCCATTTTACAGATGAGGAAACTGAGGCAGCTAGTCATTATCTTAAGCAGGATTTGAAGTGAGCTCTTTATGACTTCAGGTCTAATGCTCTGTCCACTGTACTACTCAGCTGCCCAAGATAAATCTTAAAGAGTTTACTGCAATTCAGAGAAATTAAGTAATTTGCCATATGTTTACTTAGTAAGTGTCAGGTTGGGATTTGAAAGCAGGTATTTCTGACTGAAGTCCAGGACTCTGTCTACTACCCTACACATATATGTCCTGAACACATAATTAAATAATCACAGTCAGTAAATGATTGTTGATTGATTTACTGAAGGCATCAGAACTTTGATTCAGTCTGCTTTGTCCTGCGACAGTTCTTGTCCATGTAGGATTTATTTACTTTGTAGATTTTATTTTGTGTATATTTACTTTTGTCTGACTTCTCTTGGACTTGTAAATCTTAGGGATCTCTCAGTATGGAGCTAATAATTGTAAAGATTTTGCCAACAAGTTGAGTTTAAGAACGTGTTCCTGGTGACAGTGTAATCAGTGAGAGAATTAATCAACTTACTGCAAACATTTGTTAAGCACCTGCTATGTGCTAGGTTCTATACTAGGTGATGAGGATATCAAGGTATAAAGGATGAAACCATCTCTTCTCTCTTCAAATAATTTAGAAGTATAGATTGTGAAATTTAAACTTTTTTGTCTTTCAATCATTTCTCAGTTGTGTCTGACTCTTTGTGACCGCATTTGGGGTTTTCTTGGCAAAGATACTGGAGCGGTTTGCCATTTCCTTCTCCAGCTCATTTTACAAAAGAGGAAACTGAGGCAAACAGGATAAAGTGACTTGCCCGGGGTCTCACAGCTAGTAAATGCCAGAGGTCATATTTGAACTTGGGTCTTCCTGACTGCAGGCATGGTGCTCTATCTGTTGCACCACCTAGCTGTCCTTTAACCTTCTGTAGAGAATGTGAATTGTGGAATTTTTCTTGAAAACCTTAAAGCACTGTATGAAAGCACTATATCAATTATAATAATAACTCATATTTCTGTAGATTTTTAAGGTTTCAGAGTGCTTTCTTCACAACAACCTTGTGGTATAGGCAGTATATGAGTATTTTCATCTTAATTTTATAGGAGAGACAACTCAGGCAAAGGATCGCATGATATAGTAGATAGAATACCGAACTTGGAAGTCAGGAAAACCTGGGTTCAAAGCCTACTCCAGACACTAGCTTAGTGTGATCCTGTCAGGGACCTCAGTTTCCTCATTTGTAAAATGAGGGCTTTAGACTTGATGACGCCTAAGGTCCCTTCCAACTCTTAATAAAGACAAATCCTACAGATCTTGCTCAGAATTATACAGTTGGGAGACGTTGAGCCAAGATGATGTAAATCTGTGTCTCTCTTGTCACGAAATCCAGTGTGCTTTTACAAAAATTATTCATATTATAATAACTTACATTTCTGTAGCTCTTCTCCTTACTGTGTGATTTTGGTTAAATCACAGCTTCTCTGAGCTAGAGTTTTTCCAGTGCCTATCACAGGGTCTGGCACATTATATGCATTTAATAAATGCTTACTGATTGACTGGTTTGTAAAATGGGAATGATAATAGCTACCTTAGCTACTTTATTCAATCAGTAAACATTTATTAAGTTCCTGCTAAGTGTCAGGAATTCTTCTAGGTGCTAGGAATAGGACATAATGATTCTTTTGAGGAAGAAACAATGTGTATGCCCATAATAAATAGAAATGTGTACAAAATAAACACGAGGTAACAAGGTTACTTTGTTTTGGGTAGAAATACTAGCAGTCAGAAGGATCAGGAAAGGTCTCAGAGCAGGTATCAAGCTACCCCAATGTTGAAGGAAATTAAGTGTTCTAAAAGGCAAAAGAGAGGAAAGAATGAATTCCAGACATGGGATATGTGGGCAGGGGGCTGGGTGGGAGTCGGGGGGGGAACATGCCCTCACGAAAAGCACAGATAATAGAGTATTGTCTGTGAGGAACATCAGGTAAGCTGGAACATAGAGATGGGGAAAGGAGCATTATGTGTCAAGACTGGAAAGAAGATGGGCTAGAGCCAGACCACGAAGGACTTTAAATGGCAAGCAGAGGAGCTTGTAGTTTATCGTGGAGTCTGTAGGGAACCTTTGAAGCCTTCTGAGTGGGCCTGTATTTTAAGAATTTCACTTCATCAGCTGTGAGAATGATGAGAGGCTTGAGGCAGGGAGAGGAGGCTGTGGCAGTAGGCTAGGCAAGAGCTTGCTGCTCAGGGCCTGAACTAGGATGATGACCATCTAAGTGAAGGGAACAGATGTGAGAAGGATTGTGGCAGTAGAGTCATTGACTTGGCAGCTGATTGGGATTGAAAGCATTTGTGGTGCCCTCGACCGAGATAGGGAAGTTAAGAAGAGAGAGTGGGCTTTGGAGGAAAGATAACTGTTCTCTTATGAACATGTTGAATCTGAATGCCTGTGGGACAACAAGTTGGTGATGTGGAACTAGAGCTCAGGAGCCAGCATCCCTGAATATGACGAGGTCCTGCTTAGTGCAGTTAATCCCCTGAAGTGGTCTCGTGTATTCTGCTTCACACCATTCCAAGTTATGTTTGTGTGAAATATGGTAATTAGTTCTAGCCCAATGGAAATACGCAGGGTGAATGTCAGTCAGGGAGTTTTCTGCATAACTACGCCTCATGTCTGCATAAAGAAGATTATTAAACTCATGGAAACTGATAAAGGTCACTGAGACAGGATGTAGACAAAGGAGAAAAAAAACAGAAATCAGGACAGATTTCAAGTGCGCTCATATTCAGGGGATAGGACATTACAGTATCTCAGAGGGTTATTGTGAGTGGGTTACTGTATAAACTGTGAAATGCAGTATGAATGTGAATTATTGTCGTTATTGTTAGTATCATACATATAATCCATTCCTTCCTGAAAGTGTAATTCAAAAGGAAACATCTTTTCCTAAACGTAGAACATCATGCTAAGGTTTCTGAATATAGTTATAGGTTATTGTGATAATTTTTATTATGTTAATTCAGCTTAGTGCAGGCATTCCCCCTTTATTCACTGCTTGAACTTCTGATGTGTTTGTGGGTAATTCACTAACTCAGAGACAGCTCACTTCATTTTTGAGGAATCTCATTTTAGAAAATTCTTCCTTACATTTAGCTGAAATCTATCTCCTTGTAACTTCCATTCCTTGGTCCCAGTTCTGCTGTGAAACCTCATAGAATAAGCCCAATCCCTCTTCCACATAATAGCCCTTCAGATATTAAAAACAATAACAGCAACAACTCTGTCATTCGTCTCTCACCTCCCTCCCTCCGAGGTTTCATCTTCCCAGCTAAACGTCCCCGATTCCTTTAGTTGCTTTTCATGACATGATTTATAGATCCAGTCACCATCCTGCTCACTTGGAGTTACTCTAGTTTGTTAATGTCTTTCTTAAAATCTGATGCTCAAAGCTATACAATACTGTAGATATGGTATGACCAATCTAAAAGTACAGTAAAATTGTTATCTACCTACCTTATGTGGTTATTATAGGGAAAGTATTTTATAAACTTTAAAACTTAATGTAAAAATGAACTTCTGTTACTGTTGTTATTCTATGCATTATATTCCTGTTGCTGTTGCCCAAGATCATGTTAGCATTTTGGGATGCCAAGGCAATCTGTTAACTCATTTTGAGTTTTCAGTACACTTAAATCTCAGACTTTTTCACGTGAATCAGTATCATTATATCTGCCCTATCCTGTATGGAACAATTAAATTTTTTTTTTCTGTCAAGGCAGTTGGGGATAATTGACTTGCCCAGGGTCACACAGCTAGTGTCAAGTGTCTGGTCTGAGACCAGATTAGAACTCAGGTCCTCCTGACTCCAGGGCCAGTGCTCTATCTACTGCGCCACCTAGCTGCCCCTCAGTTAATTTTTTTTAACCTTCATGTTTATGCCTATTTAATTTGAAACATTTCAGCCTGTCAGGTTCATTTTGGATCCTGATTCTGTCATGTGTGTGATTAGCCAGGCCTCCAAGGTTTATGTCATCCTCAGAGATGATAAATATCAGTGTCTTTATTTCATTTTTTAAAAAGTTCTTAATAACACAGCCAGAACAGCTAGGTGGTGAAGTGCATAGAGTGCTGGTCTTGGAGTCAGGAAGACTTCCTGACTTTTCCTGAGTTCAAATCCAGTTTCAGACACTTAATAGTTACGTGACCCTGTGTAAGTCACTTAACCCTGTTTTGCCTCAGTTTCCTCATTTGTAAAATGAGCTAGAGAAGGAAATGGTAAACCATTGCATTATCTTTGCCAAGAAAACTTCAAATGGGGGCACAGAGAGTCAAACATAACTGAAACGACACAACAACAGAATTGCACAGTGTCTTCTGTATAGTTCTCTCTCTTTCAAATAAAACTCTGAAAAGTGATTTCTGCTCCTTGGTACCCATGATCAACTTAGAAATGTTTTAGATCCTGAGAAAGAATAGAACAAATGGGGGGGGGCAGGATAGGATTAAGGGAAATAGAGTTAGTTTTTCACAACACGTCTGCTATGGAAGTGTTTTGCATAACTGCATGTGTATGGCTTGTATTGACTTGCTTGCCTTTTCAATGAGGGTGGGTAG